TTTGTAGGATTTTACTTGAATGCCGGTCGCCTTGGTAATCAGGTACGCTTGGTTCCAAATCTGCTTTCGCTAATAAAATTGTATGTGAAATAAAATTTCTAAGAAATAACAAAATTCTGCATATCTATCATGTTATGACGTTTACGACTCTATCACCCATTTGTTCACAAACACTATGGGAAACTTTAAACGCTCACCTGGAAGTAAAAAAACGTCACTTCACATATTCTCCCTTTCGCAGTAACAAAAATTGGAACTAGCTCTTTTTTAAGAAAGGTTTCCAGAAGAGGATCTTTGTAATACGATTTTCATCTATTCTTGCTTTCGGTTTTTTATGGAAAAGAAGCATGTAGCTACTGCACCAAACTTGCTTGTAAGAAGTTTTACAGAAAAGAGATTATAAAGTGAATTGTACAAAGTTGGGAAGATGAGAAAGTTATCATAAGGATGTTTCTGACGAAGCAGAAATTATTTGCCCAATTGGAGGGGAGACGATCTTTTCGCACGGGCGGTCTCCAGCACCCTGATTTTAAGTTATCTTGACAAGTCACACACGCCGCAAATCTCCCCTCCCCCTGCTTTGCTTAGGCAAAAGCCGCCGCAGGGTGTGTCTGGCGCGGCGGCGGTCTCGTGCGGAAAGCATTACGGTTGTGCGAATCGCCCTACACCCCAACTGGAGTGTTGAGCATCGAAGAGTTTAACAATCTTATAACAGGATTCAAAAATTTCCATAGAAGGGGGAGGGGAGGGAAGCGAGAGGTGGGAAGGCGGGGGGGGGGAAGAGAGAGAGAAAAAAGAGCAAAAATTATCGTGAAATAAAGAGACATAAGCCAAGCTTTTCGAGACTAAGCTCTCCAGATCATTACCGGGCTTGTTGCACGCAGAATCAAAAAAAAAATTAACCACATCTCTGCAGTCTCACATTTTTATGACTTGAAGGAAGAGTAACATGCAGAGATTCATAATCCATATATAATATTAGGCTGTTGCAAAAATAATGTCCGTTTTTTTAAGCTTGCATTCCAAACGACTTTTTTCCGTCAAACTTTTTTTCTATATACATTCTGCATATCATTAAAAAGCTCCCATCATTTACTTTCTAAAGGTGGTGAAATTAAGCCTCTATCCTTATTTGTGAAATTTTCACCAGCATTTTGCACAACCGCGCTCAGAATCCAAATCTCATAGCTTTCACTTTCTTGACCACAAGTCAGGAGCAAGTAAACGAATACTTCTGAAAACATAGCAACTGTACTGGATAAAGATTGTTTATCTACTATATGCTTACGTAGACTTTTGGAGCTATTCGGATTGAGAAATTGACGCCTCAAAATAGGTATGCGTTGGGCATATTATGGATCAAAAATTTCCCATGATCAAGGCAATCGCTGAAGCTTCGCTCCTGTAAGCTTCTGTAAGCTTGAGATAAGCACACCTTAACTACAATATTTGAAGAGAAACTTAGCTATTAAGTGCGCGAAGAATTTCAGATTTTCATAATTTGGCACTTACAAGCCTCCAACAAATAAGCTCAAAAAAGTGAACATTCTTAAATTTTTATTCTTTCTTTTCGCAGAACTGCTTCCTTAGAGTCTTTTCTACACACACGTATACTATCGGTCTGCGGCCTACAAAATAAGCTGATTGCCAGCCATAGAAACACAACTTGAAGGGAGTTGTAAGCTCTTAAAGGCGAGGTTCTCAAGAGAAAAACGTTCAGTCTTTTGACGCATGGTTTTCTTCCCGTTTGCGATATCAGTACATGCAGATGCGCGTTAGGTTACGAAAGGCTTACTCTTTTCAATATTTTTGACTAATTCAAAAATATGAAGACTGGACAAAGTTATAGTCTTCCAAAATGAAATTTCGCAAAACGGACATTATTTTTGCAACAACCTAATACTTTCAAATGCTACCCATGCTGGGAGGGTTATCCGTCATTGCTTCATGCCTATGCTCCGACATTATTGTGTTGAAAACAAGAAAAGCCGTTCTATAATAATGAAAACCTTCCACAAATCCAAAGTTTTATGGAAGAAAACGAGGAAGAGCCTTTGTTTTCTACTGCAAATTAAAAAGAGTAGATTTTTCATTATCCAGATGTTCCACATGATCACTGGGTATGGAATTGCTAGAACAATGAACCGGGTCCACTATTTGCCATTCGGACGCTCACGAGCACATGTAGAAAAATATTTGGCTTATCTAGAAAGAATTTTCCCTCGCTTAAAGCAAACATATGTTCTTGCAAAGGTAAGCTCAGTCGTTGTTCAACTTCCTACAGGAAGAGAATACTTAGTCGAAAGCACCAATCCAGGTAAGACATAATTCATCTTAAAACGTATAAAATGCTGATTCCAAATTTGTAGTTACCAGTAGCGGAGCAGTTTTGTAGAAGGAGTTATGTGGGTGTTTCACTCTGGGGTTGAGGCACCCTCCAGTAGGTCTCCCCCTATTTATGAGCACTGTAGAGGAGAACCAACTGGTGACAATTGGCCTAGTGGTAAGTATTTTGGCTTACAATAAGCATTATAATACTCATATTACTTTGGTTTTATTAACGTTTCTAACTTCGATTAGCATCAACATCATCAGAAATTTCAGGCTTCAGGGCTCCAAAGCCATTTAGAAGCAAACCTTGGCACTCTCCTTATCAAGCAAGTCACTTACCAGTAGGCCATTTGCCACCAGTTGCTACTCCTCTACAGTGCTCATAGATAAGGGGAGACCTGCTGGAGGGCGTCTCAACCCCAAAGGGAAGACCTCCTCATAACTCCTCCTACAGAACCGCTCCGCTGCTAAAAGCTACAGACTTGGAATCAGCTTTCAAGCGCTTTAAGATATACAGGGTGTCCGTAAAGTATGTATACACTGTTTGATCGTTAATATCTCTTTTCCCAAGATCTTTTGCCTTGCTTCAGGTACCATTTTGTAGAGCTGGCTTCAACTTAGATTTGCAGTATAGAACGAATCACCCCCCTCTTCATTACAGTAGGATTACGGTAGAAACTTGAAACATATGGTGACAATGTGGAAAAAGCTACCGTTTCAAAATTTTTCAAAAAAAATGTGAAAACTTGTGTAATAGGGTTTTTATGGACGCTGAGTTCGATACTCAACTATTCAAAAGAATGCGAAGCTTTCCAAATGGTGCAACCGCACTTTTAGGAACATTGAAAAAATGGCCGCTACCTCTTACCTGGCATAACTCTTCAATGAAGGATCACAATAAGTTGGGAACTTTACAGTTAGAATCAGCAACTCTAACTAGCCTAGTGTAAAAGTTTTCAGGCTGTTTTGTCTCCTTTCTGAGGCAAAATACGGCCTTTCATGGCCCAAAACCCTCTTTCGACTTTCTACCGTAATCCTACAGTAAAAGAGAAAGATGGACGATTCGCTCTATACTGTAAATTTAAGTTGAAGCCAGCTCTACAAAATGGTACCTAAAGCAAAACAAAAGACTTCTTGGGAAAAGAGATAATTAACGATCAAACAGTGTATACGTACTTTACTGACACCCTGTATATTAGGTTGATGCATAATTCCTGCACCAAAATAGGTATAGACCGCTAATCCGGGATAATATTATATCCCAAATAGCATTCGATAAATCATTAGATAGAGCAAACCTAGCTCTACAAGATGGTGCTTAAAGTTTTGCAGCAGCCTTGATCCAAGCGAAGATTGAAGTCAAAAACGGAAAAGATCCAAGCGGCTTAAAAAATCAAGAAAAAATTGGAAGCCCGTTCAGAAAATTCCTCCAAAATTCCTTAATTGCTCATGCATCGTCATTTCGTCTAAGACATTTTTCTATGCAGTTGCTATATTTTTCTTTCCGCTAGAAAACGAAAAAACCGAAGTTTTTCATATTTTTTCCAAAATAATGCTGAGGTGTTCTAGCACCTATAGTTGTATACTACAGGACTTTAGAAGAGTGTGCGTGAATTTTTAGCTTTTTAGAGCAGTTGGCTTACGAGAAATATCGAATTTTTGGCAACAAGGCAAAAAAAATTTGGATGTAGAGAGCTAGATTCGATATTTCACGTGAACTAGTTCTTCTAGAAGGCTGAAAATGTAAAGTTTTACTGCTAATGGCATGTACCATACACCGTTAGTGTTAGAACATCTCAGCACTAATTTGGCAGAAACATGAAAAACTTCGTTTTCTCATCGTCAAGCTGAGAAAAAAAATACAGCAACTGCATAGATAAATGTCTTATGTAAAACGTCTACGCGTGAGCAAGAAAGAATTTTTGTAGGAGCTTTTTTAACGGAGTGACAATTTTTTAGATCTGTCTTAAGGTTTTCGGACCATGGTTTTTTTCAGTTTTTGGCTCAAAACTTCGCGTAAATCAAAGCTGGTTTAGATTTTTGAGCAATATTTGTAGAGCTAAGTTTGCTCTATCTAATGATATATCAAATCCTATATAAAGATAGGAGAATTTCGGATTTTTGCGCTCTGTAACTATTTTGGTGCAGGAATTATGCATTAACCTAATAGATAAGAGCTTTAAGATAAGATATGATATGTCTTATCTGGATTAGTGCTTTCGACTAAGTATCCTGTTAGTGTAGAGTATCAGGACTCTATACCTTTTAATTACTTGTAATGATTCAAACCCAGTATTGAGTGAACCTTGATTGTCAGAATGGAACAATAGAGAGGAGGGTGCCTTTTGCTAAATCTTGTTGTACTTATTACGATCCAAAGAGGTTTGAATGGTGTAACTTAGCGTGATCTCTGCAAGGTGCGCTAAAATTCAGGCTGAGCAACCTCACAGATCAATTTCTATTGTTGAAGTTCCGTTTTGGGCAAAATCCTAGATATTTCGAGGACTATATCGTAGATGTGCGTGGTATCCTAAAATTTTCGGAAGAAGTAAAACGAAATGGAAGTCAATTACTTTTCTCCTTGAAAAAGTATGAATTCCGCGATTGTATATCTCGTCCTCTTAAAACATTGATTCAGCTACTCTGAGTCTATGTGCATTCACGTGCGCATGGGTGATTTCGTTATAAGACGTATCTCAACTGATATGAACATCACTGTGGAAGCTGCCAATAAGATCGCCAAGAAAATGGTATGTTCAAATCGTTAAATAGCAGACTTCTTATCCTTGCAAATTTTGCAGAATATATCACACTTCATGATTTTCGGAGACGATAAAAAATTCATGACCAATATGTCACGAAATATTGTGAACTCCGGCGGATGGAAAGATGATTTACGTTGATCAACCATCAAACTTCAAATACTTTGATACATTGCCTACATTTTAGGCAGTGGCTATCTCAAAATACAAGGACTACCTGGATTTGTTTTTGGCATCTCAATTATGTAGCTCATTCCTGATTACTGCGGCCACCTCAACTTTTGGCTGGTGGCTTGCTTTCTTTGTGCAAAACCAAAATGCAGTCTACTACTTGAACGATACCAGAAGACATGCAGACAAAGTGCCCAGCAAGGAACTCTTTTTGTAAGTTAAATTTACCTATATAATCAAACATTAAACAGGTTCTTGCATGTCACTTCAGTATGAAGAGAAGTGCTCTTCGAGGCGTAGCTGTACAATAACACTTATGCGAATTTTGACCAGCTGTGTTCCTTCCTATCACTTGATACAAGATTGATTTTCTACTTTCAAATTTGTAAACGCTTTAACCGATTATTCATACGCTCAAACCTTTTCTAAAGAGGGTCCGCAAAAAAGGAAGCAGATCTAAAATCAGCAGAGACGCGTTTACTCATATTTTACGCTTCACCGGAACAATTGGTACCCTTTGCTTGTAAGAAAATCTGGATATCAGCGATTTAGTCAAAATCATCTTGATTGTAATAGATTGATGCAAAAGTTCGTTTTCTCCATTTATAAAAAAATTATATTTTCTTGCTTCTTTGACAGATTTGCGCAATCTCAAATTTGCTTAGAGGAAGCCATTTTCCTTGTAACAGTGCTTGTGCCTTTACTGCCTTCTGAAAAATGTGAGTTTGAGAAAAAAGCTGAGAGCAAAATAATTTCGGCTTCAACCATTAGTTCGCCAAATTTCTATGACCTGCGTAGAATTCGGAGCAAGCAGTGGTAAGTTTTGATTCAATAATCAAAACTTACCACTGCTTACCACTTACCAATAATCCATTCTTTCCAATTGTAGAAGTTCTGTGTTAAGTGAGCACTTTGTGAAGAATTTTTATTTTTGGATAAGCAATACGGAACAGCAAATTTGTTTTCTCTGCCATTTTTCTTCGAAATTCGTAACTGTTCACACAGACGCTCATTTTACAGAAACTTCGCAAATTGGTTGGGATCATAAGGGGTGTATATCTGCTTGCTCCGAATGCTATTGCAGATTAGAATTCTGGCGACTTAACTCAAAATGGTCGAACAGTTATGGTTTTATTCTCCTGCATCTCTATTGAAAGCTCACACTTGTCAGAGACAGCAAAGTAAAACGAAGAGTATGTTTTTTTTTACTTAGCAAATTTGAGTTTGTGCAAATTCGTAGGAAGAGCAAGAAGGATTTCATAAAATGGTGCAAAACAGACTTTTGCATCAATATCTAAAGTGTGGTAATTCATGCAGAAATACTCATCGGAGTAAATCCAATTAAGCGCTTTGCAAGTTTTCAAAGTACACAGTCAATAAACACTTCCTGGGCATTTGAGTTATCGCTTAGAAAGTAACTGACCTGGTTTTGGCGAAGGGTAACGATAAAAACATGTTCACTCCAGGAAATGTTCCTAAAACTACATTAATTTTTTTGTGAAGTTAATGCTTTCCAAGGAAGGAGGGATTGAAGGTAACAGCAAGCCAACAACAGCTCATAATTACATCAATTCATTATACATCATTTGGCGTGAAAGGCTCTGCTGGGGCAAGACTGCATGCTAGTTATATGCAAATAACTACGCGTCTGTGCATATAAGAGCTGCACATTTTAAGTTCGTATAGATTTAGCAAAATACCAAATCGCGGAGTTTCGGCACTTGATAAATCCTGGAAATGTACCTTGGGCCTCACACGAGGAGTACAATACGGCAGATTAGCATGCTTGAAATTTCCGACCACAACTATAAAAAGCTTCTTCCAGAGTGGCGCAGCTGCGCCGGCACCGAGCTAGTGCCGGTTGTCTCGGCGCCAGGCCTGCGGGCCTCGAGTATTGATTGAAATTTTTGTCAAAAGTTCCGGTAGAGCTGTCTCGGCATGGCGCTAGCTTAGGGCCGGCACAGCTCTGGCACTCTGGACGAAACCTATATTAGTGTTGCGACTTTACAAAAACTGTCATTCTTAGGTTTTGTTCATTCTAGGTCATTGTTTCCTTTATCATATTCTTTTACAGAAAATCATGGCAGTTATACACCGAATAAAAGGAACAGCCATTTCGCTGTGATGTGTCATCATGTGGCAGTTCTTGCTACAATTAACATCTATGTGATCATGGCAAACACATTATTAGATGATGTACGCAATGCATAACCAGTGCTATCTCAAAGCTAGATCTAGTTGTCGCCATTGTCAATATTTGAGCATTCAGTCAAAATTTTGACACGTTTTCTCTACAGCCGAGTGGATTTCCCGCTTAATATAGTGTGCTTGCACTGAAGGTGACATGTGGTAAAATTTGCGTGTGAACAAGTAGTCACGCCAGTAATGCCAACATTTTGCACGCGCAAATGGCCGGCGTCACAAGCGTAGCTATTAGCTTTAAAGGCACCGTCCACCCAGATTTTCGACTTCCACGTTTTTGTCGTTTCAGGGCCTTCTCATGTCCCTGATTCCGAATATGAAGTCGAGAATGCGCGAAAACCCCGAAAATCCCCGTTCCGGAAAACGCACAGACCTGCTTTCCGGAACGGTGATTGGATGGGCGCGCACAAATGGGCGGGCATGGATGGAGGAGGGCGGGCATGGATGGAGGTCCTCGTGCATCTTCGCTATTCCGCAGCGATTTTCTCGCTCCCGAAGCGGCCCTCTGCACCGCGACTTGGGCATCGGATTGATAGAAGTCCCTACTATTATATGCTGCCAAAAGCTCAACACCCTCAACTTGGGGTGGACGGTGCCTTTAAGCGCAAATTTTACCACATTTCACCTTCAGTGCAAGCACACTATATTAAGCGGAAAATCTACTTGACTGTAGCTTTGTTTCTATTATATTGTCTATTAAGATAATTGCAAATTGGTGAACATGTGCAGAAAATACCGCTTGCTTTGAAATACATTGCTGCCATGATAAAGGTATGCAAGTTTGAACTGATAGCTTCTGTGAGAGCCTTTACAATTTCTTAAACTACAGTATTGGCAAGTGACGTTATAAAGTTGACAAGTAACTTCTAAATGTATGGAGTTTAGAATTGAAAACGTAATTAAAACATGCCCGGCAACGCTAATGGTGATGCATTCATCTCAAACCAACCCTGCTACCGTATTTGGTAAATGGCTGGTGTCGGTCATATTGCGTGCGGATACACCTCCCAGTGGCGGTTCGAGAGCCTCCGCTCCTGAGAGTGACTACCGAAATTTCTAAAGATATTTACATGGGATATAACAAGTGACTTATTTATACCTGCGAATAATCGTCACTTTCTCAAAAACTCAAATCTACCATGTGAAAAAAAATTTGTTCCGGCGTTGCACGCCACTACGCTCCCTCTAGATCGGGATTATGGGTTCGCAAAAATTTTCGGAAGCATCCCAAAAGATTTTTTGGAGTGAGTGGCTGACGCCGCGCACCTTCTTTTGAAAAATTTTCGACACCCCAAGGGGAAATCCTGAGATCGCACCTTCGCACTCATTTTTGAAATATTAGGTCGGCAAAAGTTTTGTCATTTTTATGAATTGACTCGCAAATCCGGTACAGTAGCGAGAAACAAACACTTCAAGCTGTATCCGAAGCAGAATTCTGACTTCCCGCTATTTTTAAGAATTTTTAGTCGAGTATTATGGAAAGCTTCAATAGGCAACAACTAGGGTAGACCTTTTGCCAACTAAAGCGTTTTTTCTTTTTCCAGCTTCCCTTTTAAAACGTTGCTGGACGATTTTCCAAAAGCCTTAAGTTTCGCAGAAATCCCATAGCTTGTTGTTGCACTAAACACTGCAAAATCTTCAGAAAATGAGGCTTCAAACTCGATTAATATTCTTACTAAGCTTGAAAGTAAATGAGCGATTTTTCTGTCAAGATATGAAAATTTGGAAACTCAGGATACATTACTGCGATATTTCCTCCTCAAATTGCGTTTTTCGTCAAAATAGACAACTTTTAAAAAGAGAAAAAAAGTTGCATCGAATGGCATGTGAGCTGTTTACTATTTCCTGTTCTACGAGGCCAGAATTGGCTGAACATAAATTTCCTTTGCATCAAAAATATTCTGAGGAAATTTTCGAAGGCAATCAACAAAGCTATAAAAATTACGATAACGGCGGTTACCCGGTACTCATACGGCCGCCGGCCGGTATGCGTCAGTGGCGCAACGAAATGACACTGGGCTATAGCATTTCTTTTTCTACGTTCTAGCTTTCGTTCAGCACTGTAATCTCAATAAAGGGTGGGAATCTACATCAACATATTTAGTATAACTACAACACTATGAGAAGAAACATTGACATGAGTTGCATACAGATTCATTAAAAACATATGTTGCTACAAAGCTAGTAACTATTTATCAAGATCATTTGACGCAGCAAGTTCACATAAAGTTTGACAACCTTTCCGTTGCGTCGGTAGGTCCAAAATGTTCTTTAAGAACTTCTGAATGCCACACATAAGCAATAATGCTGTACGTGATAAGTCTGAAATTGAAACAAACTATTGACAATTTTTAAATGACACAGAACTTACATGCTATACACAGAGTTGCGATAATGTTTATTAGTAGAGCAATACCAAAAACATAAGCATTACAGAAGACGGCTAGAATAGATGATGATTGCGTCAGTCTTAAAAAAAACAGTGCTAGTTTTAATGATTTTCAAGAAGAACTTACATATTTTGGAGTGCGTCCAGCAGCTGTGACCATCAGATCAGCAAAAACGCGGTAGAATATCAGATAGGTTCCGATTCCAATATGTTGTCAACAAAGTAGCAACCGGCAGATCATTGAATCGAGATGAATTATGGAATACTCAGCAAACCAGGGATAGTCCAGAAATCCAATTAGTAAGAAAGGAGCATTGAAGAACCATACAATTTTTGCCAAACCGACAGCAGTCAACCCAATCGCTGTAGTTCCATCAAAAGTGCAAGATCGCAAAAACTACACAATTGCAAATGCCTTCTGAAGAACTTGTGGGAATTTATGTACTTCTCTAGTTCGCACACAGTGTCACCCAGTTGATGCGATACATAGATTTGACCTCACATTAAGGGGACATCTAAATTAACTCAGATTGTGCTTCTTCGCCATGCAAGTCAAAAAGCTTAGGAAACACAAACATCACGGCGCTTCTACAAATATACAAAAGAGAGCGGAAAAACAGTGAAGGTGGGCTACATCAACTTACACATACTTGGATGCCAAATACCTGAGTAGCTCAAACATAATTATTATTCATTTCTCAGACATTCGCGGTTGAGTCGCGCAGGACAGAACGAGTTGTTATCACGGATGCCTGCGCGACTCCCGAAATCGGTGTCGGACACCGGGACAAAATCGGGATAACTGATTTTGTTTCCGGGCAAAAGTGCGCGACAAAATTAGGTGTCCCGACGGACACATTCCGGACAGAAACGGAAGACACCATAATGTCTCGATCGCGTTCAGAGCACGCGTCCTGCGCCCTTATTAACAGCTTTTTGCGTCCTCTGTGCCCTCTCTCACGCCTCCCTTTTCACTCACATTGAGCCCATGGTCTCTTTGGGTCTTATTTGTCACGCTTGTTACTTTTCTGCTAGTAAATCTCAATCTTACTTCATGAAATTTATCAACAAATACCACACGATGTTCTCGAGCAGACTTTACAATGACATTGAAATGAGATACACAGCAGTAAGTATAAGATTCGGAGCATCACAACTACGACACAAGGTCACAAAACAACTACAACAAAAAAATGTAGGCAATAGCATCAGGCTTCCTCAATATCTTCAGCTTCACTTCAAAGCATTCAGTCTTCTGAATCACCAGTCTTCTTTAGTGGTACTGCTGCCTTCAGTGTTTTCGGTTGAAGTTCCGTTATGGGCAAAATCCTAGATATTTCGAAGACTATATCGTAGATGTGCGTGGTATCCTGAGATTTTCAGAAGAAGTAAAACAAAATGGAAGAAAATTACTTTTCTCCTTGAAAAAGTATGAATTCCACGATTGTTTATTCTCGTCCTATTGAAACATTGAATTAGCTATTCTGAGTCTATGTGCATTCACGTGCGTAAGGGTGATTTCGTGAAAATACATATCTCAACTGATATGAACATTACTGTGAAAGCTGCCAATAAGATCGCTAAAAAATGGTATGTTTTATTTCATCATTAAGTAACAAACTTCTTATCCTTGCAAATTTTGCAGAATATATCACACTTCATGATTTTCGGAGAAGATAAGAAATTTATGACCAGTATGTCACGAAATATTGTGAACACCGGTGGATGGAAAGATGATTTACGTTAATCAACCATCAAACTCCAAGTACTTTGGCACATTGCCTATACTTCAGGCAGTGGCTATCTCAGAATATAAGGACTATCTGAATTTATTTTTGGCATCTCAATTATGTAGCTCATTCCTGATTACTGCGGCCACCTCAAGTTTTGGCTGGTGGCTTGCTTTTTTCGTGCAAAACCAAAATGCAGTCTATTACTCAAACGATACCAGGAGACATGGAGACAAAGTGCCTAGCAAGGAACTATTTCTGTAAGTTAACTTACCTACAAAATCGAAGATTAACAGGTTTTTGCATGCCGCTTCAGCATGGAGAGAAGTTGCATTTGCAGAGTAGCTGTACAAAAACACGTATGCGGATTTCCACTAGTTGTGTACCCCCTTGGATTCACGATCCAAGATTGATTTCCTACTTTCAAATTGTAACAGCTTTGACCAATTATGCATACGCTCAGTCTCCTTTTGAAGAGTTGGTCCACAAGAAGGGAAGCAGATCTGAAATTAGCAAAGAAGCGTCTACTGATATCTTATGATTCACCGGAACAATTGGTACCCCTTGCTTGTAAGAAAATCTGGATATCAGCGATTCAGTCAAATCGTCTTGATTATAATAGGGTGGTGCAAAAGTTCGCTCTCTCCATTTTTCAAAAATCATAGTTTCTTTCACTGACAGATTTACACATCTCAATTTCGCCTAGAGGAAACCATTTTTCTTGTAAAGTGCCTTTACTGCCCTCTGAAAAATTTGAGCTTTCAAGAGAAAAGCCGAGAACAAAATAACTCCGGGTTCGACTATTAGTTCGCCAAACTTCCATAACCTGAGTAGAATTCGAAGCAAGCAGTTATAACTTTTATGATCCACCCTTTCCAACTGTAGAGATTCTGTGTTGAGTGAGCATCTTTGTGAAGAATTATTAATTTTGGATAAGCAATACGAAACAGCAAATTTGTTTTTCTGCTATTTTTTCAAA